TCGCCCCGGCTACTGCCTAGGCAGGCACCGTTAGAAACCCGGGCATAGTCGCCCCGGCTACTGCCTAGGCAGGTACTGTTAGAAACCCGGGCATAGTCGCCCCGGCTACTACCTAGGCAGGTACCGTTAGAAACCCGGGCATAGTCGCCCCGGCTGCTGCCTAGGGAGGTACCGTTAGAAACCCGGGCATAGTCGCCCCGGCTACTGCCCAGGCAGATACCGTTAGAAACTCGGGCATAGTCGCCCCGGCTACTGCCTAGGCAGGTACCGTTAGAAACCGGGAAGTGTGTTGCGCGAGTGGCATGACACCAGCATTGGCATGACACCAGCATTGGCATGACACCCGCATTGGCATGACACCAAGCACGAAGTGAGTAAAGGAGGTCAGAAGATTCACCAATTAAGACGCCTGAATCAGCAATGCCCGCACCAGTGATGTGATCGCAGAGAGATATAAGGGTGACACTCACTCACCTATGAGGAATCTTCCAGGCTCGTTTTGAGAATTCTCAAAAGCAATCTGCATAGGCAGTGGACTCACCTAGTAAGACGTGTGAGTGAGTGAATCAGCAATGCACCGGCGATGTGATGGCAGAAAGATGTGACGGCGACACACACCTATGAAGATCACATACGAAAAAGCCAGAGTCAGCGTTGCACTCACCTATGAAGAAGCCCGAGTCGGAAATGCACTTGGTGGCCGCCCAGGGGAGGGCACCGGCGATGCGATCGCAGAGAGCGACAACTGCCTGGCCGCCCGCTGAGCTGCCCGAGAGGAGGATCTGCGCTGCAGATTTGATCCCGCGATTCGATTTCAGATCTGATTGCGTTTGGATGTGTGCAGCGAGGAGAGGAGATGGGGGGGAGAAGAGGAGGGGGGAGGGAAGGAGGGAGCAGAGGGAATGCAATGCAACCCCTATGAGGGAATGCGGAGAGAAATGACTGCCTGGCCGCCCGCAAAGCTGTGGGAGAGGAGGGAGCAGAGGGAATGCTCCGCAGCCCGTGCTCCCCCCAGGGATCCCCCTCTCTTCGAACATCTGCACCCGTTGTACCAGGACCTAGCGGCCGGTGACTTTTGAGTCGACTCCAAATGACTTTTGAGTCGACTCAAAGTTCTGTTCGTTTCACCCTTTGTACCTCTCTACAAACATCTTCACCCTTTGTACATCTCTACAAACATCTTCACCCTTTGTACCTCTCTACAAACATCTTCACCCTTTGTACCTCTCTACAAACATCTTCACCCTTTGTACCTACCAGGACCTAGGGGCAGGTTTTCGTACCAGGCACCGTCCAAAGGCCCATTCAGAGCGAACAATGTTCATATTTTGAAGCAAGCCAAGCGCTAGAGAAGCTAGTGATAGACGGGATAATCCTGGCCAGATAATCCTGGCCGGATAATCCTGGCCGCCCACTCATGTGAAGTGAAGCACAAGTGAAGCTCGTGATAGACCGGATAATCCTCCCCTACTCAGCCATGGCATGATGGCAGCATGGGATGACCTTTGAGATGACTCAAAAGTCACCCCATGTGAAGCACGCCAAACGCTGGAGACGCCAGTGATAGACCGGATAAGCCTGGCCAAATTATCCTCCCCTACTCAGCCATGGCAACATGCTTCCTGCCACTCAGCCCCCCCTTCTCACCCTTAATTATAGCCCGCATGATTCTCCACCCATCCAAGTACATGGCAGGTACTTGGATGGCATCCACTACTCAGCCATGGCAGCATGCTTCCTCCCTCCACCCCGTCCTCCCACCTCACCCTCCAAGATAGCCCGCATGATTCTCCACCCATCCAAATACAGCACCGTGCCACCGCCCACGTTCAGCCTCCCCGTTGCCCCTGCGAATCCCCCGCCGTCGCAGTAGATGAGGCGGACGAGGTTCCAGCTGTGGAAGGGCGGGTTGATGCTGCTGTTGCTGCTGAGCATGCCGGTGAAGGGGGGGCGGATGACCTGAGGGGGCGAATTTGGGGGTAGGGGGAACGCGGATGGGGAGGGGGAGCGGGGAGGGTGTGGGGGGAAGGGGTTGAGGGGTGAGGAAGGAGAGGGGGAGAGGAATGCTGAGAATGGGAGAGTTTAATGCTGCTGTTGCTGCTGTTGCTGCTGGTGCTGCTATTGCTGCTGTTGCTGCTGTTGCTGCTTTTGCTGCTGTTGCTGCTGTTGCTGCTGTTGCTGCTGTTGCTGCTGTTGCTGCTGTTGCTGCTGTTGCTGCTGTAGCTGGTGTTGCTGGTGTTGCTGGTGTTGCTGCTGCTGCTGCTGCTGTTGCTGTTGCTGCTGTTGCTGCTGCTGCTGCTGTTGCTGCTGTTGCTGCTGTTGCTGCTGTTGCTGCTGCTGCTGCTGTTGCTGCTGTAAACGCTGTTGCTGCTGTTGCTGGTGTTGCTGCTGGTGCTGCTGCTGCTGCTGCTGGTGCTGCTCTAGCTGCTGAGAGTGCCAGTGAAGGGGGGAGAGTGCTGAGAGTGCCAGTGAAGGGGGGAGAGTGCTGAGAGTGCCAGTGCCAGGAGACATGGGAGGAGGAAAGGATCGTGCAACATACACGGTTTATCACCAACATGCATTTTCTATTATTAACAAGCGTTTTCTATCACCAACATGCATTTTCTACACTTTATATCACCAACATGCAATTTCTACGATTAACATGCATTTTCTATCACCAACGTGCATTTTCTTCTATCACACACACACATGCGCGCGCACACACACACACACGCACACACGCACGCACGCACGCACACACACACACACACACACACACACACACACACACACACACACACTCATGTGCACACACCTCAATGTGTCTGGGTAGAATGTCCTACTGCCAAGCCACGTCTTGCTCCTAGCGACGCACTGCACAACAGAGACGCACCACGCATCGAGTGGCGCACACACGCCCCAAGAGACATGACCCGCAGCCCAACTAACCCATGTGTTGGGCGACACGATCGGCACCAGATCCACGGCCCAACTAACCCACCTCGCTGCTCGGGTAATCAGGGCAGAACGCGCTGCTGCCAGGCCATGTGCTGCTCCTGGCCACGCACTCAGCAGCAGAGCCGCAGTGAGCAGCAGAGCCGCAGTGAGCAGCAGAGCCGCAGGCAATGACACACACACACTGCAAGACACAGAGACGCAGAACGTTACTGCTCACCTCACTGTTCGGGTCGTCCGGGTAGAACGTGCTGCTGCCAAGCCATGTCTTGCTCCTCGCGACACAGTCGGCAGCAGAGGTGCACCACGCCCCTCCCGGCAGGTAGATGTGCCACATGCTCTTGCCGGCCCCCGTGCCCGGGCGGAAATAGTACCCTGGGGGGCTGGGAGGAAAGGAGGGGTGAGAATGGGGCGCGAGTATTTACTCGAGACGGGCATTTATAAAGCCTTCTTTTCGCCGAAAGAGATATCTTGCCCCTCGGCCCCTCGGCCCCTCGGCCCCTCGTCCCCTCGTCCCCTCTCCCCCTCTCTCCCTCGTCCCCTCGTCCCCTCCCCCCCTCTCCCCCTCTCTCCCTCTCCCCATCTCCCCTCCCCCTCTCCCCCTCCCACCCTTTCCCCCTCTTCCCCTCCCCTCTTTCAACAGCGTACCTCCCGTCGAGGCATTTCGCGTCGAAGGAGTTATTCGCCAGCAGAACGAGCCGCGGCGTGGGCGGCGGCGCCGGTGGCAGGGCCTGCTTTCCCGATAGCAGCGACAGCAGGTATTGCATGAAAATCCCGATGCTTTTAAACCCGGCGTTCGAGCCCGATTTAGTCCCTCCTCCTTTGGATCCGCTACTATAACGAGTATACGCAGTTCCGTTACTCATTATAACGCTTTCTCGAAACTCGGCTAGATGTTCCATAATATCCGATGGATATGTTGCCAGGTCCGCAGCTGCCTATTTTCGCCGCCGCGGCGTCGACCCCAATATGACGCCTAGGGATTGTCGAGCATTGGGAAAAGAAACTTTACCCTGCGAACGCAAGCCTTGCGTTCAACGCGCTGCAACTCGGCAATTCCTAGGGACTCGCGGCAATTCCTAGGGACTCGCGGCAATTCCTAGGGACTCGCGGCAATTCCTAGGGACTCGCGTCATCATCACTCAGAACTGGCGCTTCGGGGGTGGTGGGTGGTTGGGATTTGAGTTTCGAACAAACGAAACCTGCGACATGCCATTTTTTACGTGCATTGCGATTCAGCCGGGGTTGTTGTGAGGCGGTGAGTGCCTTCTTTGAACGGAACTCGTTAACCATTACGAGGAAAAATGCGAGCTGCATGACTAGTGCTGAAACAACATTTCCGTCTCTATGTGAGTCATTATTGTATATTATAACAATTAATGGCTCATGTGCACATTTCCCACTAAAAGCAACAAATGTCTTAGCAACACGGCGCAACAAGGCACTTCGAAACCATGCTGCATGAATATATGCAAACCTGTTGTGCCTTTCTTGTCAAACTAGTTCTACGAGACAAAGCCGTGAATAACAATATTGTTGTAACTTCATTAGCTGTGTATAAATCTTTCAGACGGTACATTGGCAAACCACTCCACGACTGCTCTTTCCAGAGACACTCCCTGGACCCATGGGTTTTTCCATGCGGGCAACATAACCATCCCATGCACTATTCCAGCTGGAACAAAAGCAGCTACAGTATCTTTACTTCCAATTATGCTCCCTAGGGCTTCAAGTAGTATCGAAGCAGCCGTAAACAGTGCAGCTCTCTCCAACGGCGTACAGTGTTGCGTTTTCCATGCAATCTTGCTCCACTCTTTCCGTTGAATGACACTTGTAACATTCTTGCTCGTCCGAATCACCTCGCGCAAGCACTGGTAAGTGTAGGTCGTGTTCCAAGGTAAAATTCCGCCGATTTGAAATGCGTGATAGTCAAACAAAGTCTGGGAAATGAATATCGGTGTGGTGACGCTCGAAAGAGTGTACTGCGGAAAGAAGCACTTCCATTGGTCATACTTCGGGAGGCCTGAGGGCGGGAAGGGGGTGCGTGGTAAGGGGAGGGAGATGGGGGAGAGGATTGGGGGTTGTGTGAAGAATGCAGAGGTGGAGAGAGGAGAAGTTACAAAGAGGAAGGAGCGGGAGAGGAAAACAAGGAGAGACGACGAGGGGTAGGAGAGCACGCAGGGCAGGAGGGCAGGAGGGGGGGGGAGGAGGGTGGGGGGGGGGGGGGGAAGGGGGGTTTGGGGGGAAGAGGATGGTGCCAAGGGAGAATGAGCAGGATGCATGCATGCATGCTTTTGAGTGGACTCTGATGTCACCTCGGATTCTCACAAGAGGGAATGAGCTCATGAAGAGGAGAAGGGCAGGAGCAGGAAGGAGGGGAGGAGGAGGAGGGGAGGACGAGGAAGGAGGGGAGGAGGAGGGGAGGAGGAGGGGAGGAGCAAGGAGGAGCGAAGCTGCATGCATGCGAAGGACAACTGCATGTGATGGCGTATGCAAAAGCAAGAAAAGCGGCACCAGCCATGCTGCCCTCTCACCAGCCATGCTGCCCTCTCACCAGCCATGCTGCCCTCTCACCAGCCATGCTGCCCTCTCACCATCCATGCATGAGGAGGACCACTTTGGCCGGTGCATGTCAACCACGCCCTTGGCCACGCCGCGCCACGTGAAGCCCCCCCAGCGGTCCTTGGAGTCTGGTGGGAGGGTGGCGACAAGGGTGGGGGTGGGTTGAACTTGAGGGGCAGAGGAGATATGCCGGCATGGGAATGCGTACTCGGACACGGCTCTTAGTCACGCTGTGCCACGTGAAGCCCCCCCAGCGGTCCTTGGAGTCTGGTGGGTGTGTGGCGACAAGGGTGGGGGCAGGTTGAACTTGAGGGGCAGCGGAGGTATGCCGGCATGGGAATGCGTACTCGGACACGGCTCTTAGTCACGCTGTGCCACGTGAAGCCCCCCCAGCGGTCCTTGGAGTCTGGTGGGTGTGTGGCGACAAGGGTGGGGGCAGGTTGAACTTGAGGGGCAGCGGAGGTATGCCGGCATGGGAATGCGTACTCGGACACGGCTCTTAGTCACGCTGTGCCACGTGAAGCCCCCCCAGTGGTCCTTGCAGCCTGGTGGGTGGGCGTATGTGGGAGGGACGGGGGGATCTGAGGGATACTGGAAAAATGGTGAAGGCAGGAGAGCCAGGCAAGGCAAGTCCTTAGGCTCGCTGCGCCATGTAAAGGCCCCCCATGCAGATATATGGGATGCATGGGAGTCTGGGGGGTAGGTGGACAGTGGGGGTGATGGGGGGGCTTGAGGGATGCTGGAAAACTGGTGAAGGTGAAGGTGTGCGTGAGAGACAGCCAAGGCAAGTCCTTTGCCTCGCTGCACCATGTAGAACACTCCCAGGCGGTCCTTGGAGTCTGGTGGGTGGGCGTATGTGGGGGGGGTCTATTTTTGAGGCCCCTCAAAAATAGACTCCTCACGTATGTGGGGGGGGGGAAGGACGAGGGGTATCAGATCGTCTGAGCTATGTGGGGTTGGTGGGGCCTAACGGGTCTTGGGCTTTAAGAAGCGCTTACCTGTAATGCCTATAACGAAGCCCGAGTCGACAACGCGCTTGGTTGGTTGGCGCCCAGGGGAAGGCACCCAAAAAGGCACCGGGATGCGATGGCAGCGAGATGTGAGGGTGAGACTCACTCACCTATGAAGAAGCCCGAGTCAGCAATGCACTTGGTGGGCGCCCAGGGAAAGGCAGCGGCGATGCGATCGCAGAGAGATATGACAGCCTGGCCGCCCGCTGAGCTGCCCGAGAGGAGGATCTGCGCTGCAGATTTGATCCCGCGATTCGCCTTCAGATCTGGTTTGCACATGGTTGTTGGGAGCGGCGGAGGGGTGTTGGGAAGCTACAGTTAGTTCTCGTTCTGAAGTTGGACCATTAGCCGAAGTTGGCCCAAGAGTGTAGCTTGCGTATGCAGTAGGCCTTATTACGCTTACCGGAATTACCCAGAGGGCTGGTTTTCTTAGATAGCCAATATGACGGGGAAGCGGTCTCGAATAAAAACGTCCAGTCAGACAGTATTTACGACTAATAATCGATGGAGAATCGGAGAACCCGAAACTGCATTGGGTTCAGCAAGGAAAATTTCTGCACCTGTAAAATCATGAAAATACGCGCAGCCTATCGCCCAGAAAAAAAAAAAAAAAAAAAAAAAAAAAAAAAAAACACCAACCTACACTCTTGGACCAATTTCAGCTGATGGCCCGACTTCAAAACGTGCCCTTAGGGAGCAGGGGTAGTCACTTGTGGTTGGTTCAGAAACAACAGTGAAACAACAGTAAAGGAACAGTGAAATAACAGTAATGAAACAACAGTAGTGAAACAACAGTAAAGGAACAGTGAAATGACAGAAGTGAAACAACAGTAAAGGAACAGTGAAATAACAGTAATGAAACAACAGTAGTGAAACAACAGTAAAGGAACAGTGAAATGACAGTAGTGAAATAACAGTAGTGAAACAACAGTAGTGAAACAACAGTAAAGGAACAGTGAAATAACAGTAATGAGACAACAGTAGTGAAACAACAGTAAAGGAACAGTGATATAACAATAGTGACACAACAGTGAAGGAACAGTGAAACAACAGTAGTGAAACAACAGTGAAGGATCAGTGAAACAACAGAAGTGAAACAACAGTGAAGGAACAGTGAAATAACAGTGACTACCTCCCCATATCCCCCCTCCTGCCTCACCCCTCATTTTTGAGAATTCTAAAAGAGCTACAGATAGGGAGCAAGGGTGGTCCCTCCCCTTGCGAATGGATGGGAGCGGTGGAGGAGTGTTGAGAAGTTAGAGATAGGGAGCAAGGGTGGCCCCTCCCCTTGCAGTTGCTTAAAAATGTACAGCGTACCTCCCCTCCCCCCACTCCCCCCTCACTCACTCTCCCTCTATAAGTGCCCGAACGACCTTTCACCCATGCAGGTACACAGCACCGTGCCACTACTGACCTCCTCCCTCCTGGTTGTTCCTCCGAATCTACCCCCCACCCCCCCCCCCCCTCCCCCCCTCCCCCTTTCCTTATCATCTGCCGGCCACTCCCCAGCTATAATAGCGCGCATGATCTTCCAGCCATCCAAGTACACCTCCGTGCCACTGCCAACCTCCACCCTCCCGGTTGTCCCTCTCCCCCCTCTCCCCCACACACCTACTTTACCCTCCCCCCCCCACACAACCTCACCCGCAATAGTGGCCAATCTTCCAGCCATCCAAGTACAGCACCGTGCCACTGCCAACATCCACCCTCCCAGCGGTCCCCCTCCCCCCTCTCCTCCCCCCCAGAACCACTTTCTCCTTCCCCCCCCACCCCCACGCACGCACTGACCCGCTATAATAGCCTTATCTTTCAACCATCCAGGTACAGCACATCGTCCGACACCTCCCAGTGAGCGCAGTGCGCGCCGGCCACCCACCTGCCATAATAGCGCGCATGATCTTCCACCCACTCAGGTGCAGCCCCGTGCCATTCCCAACGTCCAGCCTCCCCGTCGTCCCTGCGAACCCCCCCCCGTCGCAGTAGATGGGGCGGACGAGATTCCAGCTGTAAAAGGGCGGGTTGTGGGTGCTGTTGCTGCTGAGCATGCCGTTAAAAGGGGGGCGGATGACCTGGAGAGGGGGGAGAAGGGCCCGGTGGGTGGGGGAAGTAGAAACGAGGGTTGAAGATGGGGAAGGGAGAGAAAGGGCGGGTTGTCGGTGCTGTTGCTGCTGAGCGCGCCGGAGAAGGGGGGGCCGATGACCTGAGAAAGGCGCGGGGGGAGGAGGGGAGGGGAGGGAGGGTTGGGGGGGAGGAGGGGAGGGGAGGGAGGGTTGGGGGGGAGGAGGGGAGGGGAGGAAGGGTTGGGGGGGAGGAGGGGAGGGGAGGGAGGGTTGGGGGGGAGGAGGGGAGGGGAGGGAGGGTTGGGGGGAGGAGGGGAGGGGAGGGAGGTTTGGGGGGGAGGAGGGGAGGGGAGGGAGGGTTGGGGGGGAGGAGGGGAGGGGAGGGAGGTTTGGGAGGGAGGAGGGGAGGGGAGGGAGGTTTGGGAGGGAGGAGGGGAGGGGAGGGAGGGTTGGGAGGGGGGAACAAACAGGGGAGAGGAAGGGCGGGTTGGTAGGCTGTTGAGCAAGGGGGGGGGGATGACGTGAGGGGAAAGAGAAGAGGGAAGGGAGGGAGAAGAGGGAAGAGGGAAGGGAGGGAGAGGCGGGAGGAGGGGGGGAGAAAGGCTGGTTGCTGCCGAGAAAGCGTTGCCACTGGAAAGGGGGACGGATGACCTGTGGGGATATAAAGGAGTGGGATGTAAAGGGATGGGATATGAAGGAGTGGGATGTAAAGGGATGGGATATGAAGGAAACACGCACCAACGCACCAACGCACCTCACTGTTTGGGTCGTCCGGGTAGAACGTGCTGCTGCCAAGCCATGTCTTGCTCCTGGCGACACAGTCGGCAGCAGAGCCGCACCACGCCCCTCCCGGCAGGTAGATGTGCCACATCCTCTTGCCGGCCCCCGTGCCCGGGCGGAAATAGTACCCTGGGGGGCTGGGAAAAAGGGAGGACAGGTGCACGGAGAATTGGAGCAATGTACGAATGCATGCTCTTGCCGGCCCCTGTGCCCCAGCGAAAGAAATACCCTGGAGGGCTGGGGAAAAGGGAGGAGATAAGAACAAGAAGACATGGAGCAATAAAGAACGCATGCTCTTGGCGCACCCTGTGCCTGCCCGGGAATAGTACCCTGGGGGGCTGGGGGAAAGGGGGAAAGGAGCAAATAGTATCCGAGGACTCTAAGGCGTGCTCTTGCCACCCCCTGTGCCCGGGCAAAGTAGTACCCTGGAGCCTGGAGGGCTAGGGGAAAAGGAGGGAAGGAGTAAAGTGTATTTCCCCCTTCCCCTTCCCCGATTTTCTGCTTCCCCTTCCCCCCTTCCCCACTTCCCTTACCCCCTTCCGTTTCCCCCTTCCCCTTCCCTCTGACGAAACCACCAACATCACCCTACCTGCCGTCGAGGCATGTCGCTCCGAGCGCGTTGGCCGGCAGCAGGATCAGCCGCGGCCGCTCCGTCTGCGCCGGCGTCGGCGGCGGCGGCTGCCCCGCGAGCAGCGAGAGCAGGTACTGCGTGAACAGCCAGATGATCCTAGACCGCGCCTTGGCCTCGCGACGTGCGGCAGAGCGCTTCTGAACCGACTCGAACGCTGCTATTGTCTGCACAGCCGTTGTCGGAAATTTTAAGAGGAGCAGCGAGAGCCAGAATATTTTAGTCTGCGACCTCGCGTGCGAGGGGCGACGCGCGGAAGTGCCGCCGCCATCGGCCGTTCGATTTCGACCAGCAGCAGCCGCCATTCTCAACCACCGATGCTGCTGCTGCTGCTGCTGCTGCTGCTGCCGTTGTTATTGTCGACCGTTACACTATGATAGGCTTATTGGCCGCGTTGTACTCAACCAGTGAGGATCATGATGATGGTCTACAGGCGGGCAATAGGTCTAAAAAAACGGTATTCTGGACCCTAGAATAGCAGATTAGTGGCTGATCGGAGTCTATGTGGTAATAATTTACTAAAATCCGATCATGACCCACGCGTCGCCTATTCCCGCTGACTCATCCGGGATAGCGCGCGTCACTGGCCGTCTGATCCGGAACTGTTACGATCCGTCAAATCCGACCCGTCTGTTCCGATCCGGCACTCGCGCCGCCAGAAAGACCGTCATTTGCTGCAGACGCCGAGAGGACTGCTTGCCGCGTGGTTGGTGGTTCAGGTTAGTTGACTGCGCAATTGGCTGCCGATGAGCCATTTCTGATCAGATAAGAGCCTTCGCTGGCTGCTAATGGAAGGATGTAGCAGGAAGACGTCACTGAGAGGTACAGTACGGTAGTAGGTATTCCAAGACGTTGCGAAAGGTAACACTTCGGTAACGAGGCATCACATTGGAGGGGCAACTGCTGAACTCACCAGCGCCGTCGTGCGACAAAAGGGCACCCACCCACACACTCGGCTCAGTCGGAGCTGCGCGCCGCCAACGTAGGTTGTGGCAAACTTGCGGCCCGCCTGTAATTTTGCTTGGTCGGTTTCGTTCAGATTCGAGGGCGTGGATCTGTGGAGCCGGTTGCCCGTGCGGTGCGGACTGGACATATTTTGCCAGGAAATTGACGGAATGTGTGGTTGGACGCATCTGCTACCCCGCTGATTGTGTGCGGAAACAATTTGTTACATAATTATGCACGGGTGTGTAAATCTGTCAGATAAATTATCAACAACAAACCACATATTGCGCTTCACATTGCGCCAGAGCTCATATTGCGCCACAGTAGTCATATTGTGCCATCAAGCTGCTTCTGAATTTTACAAGAGTAGGACTATGTATGAAGCTTTCCATCAGCACGTGCCAAAACAAAGGCGTCATTCGACAACGACTAAAAAACTACTGTAAAAACCCTTGCGCCTTGACGGAGCAATGATTTATAAACGGTGCAGCACAAGAAAAATACTACCAATGCTCGTCTACATGTGCATAAATCTGTCAGACAAATCATCTGCAAACCAGCGCATGATTGCTGTTTCTAGTGACACTCCTTGTACCCATGGTCGCATCCATGATTTCATAAATACCGTCCCATGGAACAATGAGGTAGGAGCAAAGGCAGCAATGCTCTTTACACTTCTAGTCGTTTTCTCAAGCGCCTCAAGGAGTATCGAAGCGGTTGTAAACAGCGCACTCCGCTCCATAGGAGTACAGAAATCCGTCTTCCATGTAATCTTGCTCCATTCTTTCTTTATTATCACCCCAGTGACGTTCTTGCTTGTCCGCAGCACCTCTCGTAGGCAATCGAGAGCGTAGGTGTTGTTCCAAGGTAGCGCACCGCCGATATGAGATGCGACAAAATCGAAGACAGTTTGCGAGATAAAAAGCGGCGAGGTGATGTTCGAAACAGCGTATTGGGGAAAGAAGCACTTCCAGTGGTCACTCTGGGGGAGACCTGAGAGGTGGAAGTGGGAATGTGGTACGAGTGGGGAGGGGAAATGAGGGGAGGGGTGAGGAGATGATTATCGGTGTGGTGGTGCTCGAGAGGGCGTATTGTGGAAAGAGACATTTCCAGTGGTCACCCTGGGGAAGACTCCAAGTGTCGTTGCCAAAGATCACAGAAAACATTTCCAGTGGTCACCCTGGGGAAGACTCCAAGTGTCGTTGCCAAAGATCACAGAAAACATTTCCAGTGGTCACCCTGGGGAAGACCTGAGCGGCGGAAGAGGGAGCATGGGAGAGGGGGAGGGAGGGGAGGGGAGGGGCGGGGAGGGGCGGGGTGGATGTGTGGAGAATGGGGAGGTGGGGAGAGGGGAAGAATAGGGGTGGTGGTGTTGGGGTGGGGGGTGGGGAGTGGGGGGTTGGGGGGAAGAGGCTTGCAAGAGTGAAGATTGACAAGGATTGATTATGCAAATCCCATCTATCCACGCGTGCAGCAGTCCACTTGGACCGGTGCAGTTAAAGCACTCTTAGCTATGCCAATATACTCGCCTAAGCTGGTGTGTGTGTGTGTGTGTGTGTGTGTGTGTGTGTGTGTGTGTGTATGTGTGTGTGTGTGTGTGTGTGTGAGTGTGAGTGTGTGAGTGTGTGTGTGTGTGTGGTGTGTTTTGCATCATAAGAGTCACAGGAGGAAAGGAGCAACAGGATCGAGGAGAAGGAGAGGAGCGAGGGCGTACCGTCCATGCATGTCCACTTTGGGCGGTGCATGTCAACCATGCTCTTAGCCACGCCCCGCCACCTGAAGCCTCCCCATCGGTCCTTGGAGTCTGGTGGGTGGGTGGGAGCATGTGTGAAGGGAGTGGGTGGGGAGATTCAAGGGTTACTGGATAACTGGATTCAAGGGATACTTGATAACTGGATTCAAGAGGCAGTGGATGAAGGAAGAGCAGGATTTGGTGAGAGATAGAACCCCCGAGGCGGCACTAGGCATGCTGGTTCGAGTCTCTCTCTCTCTCACCAACGAAGAACCTTCGAATAGACAGATGCACTCGCCATGCTGGTTGCCGCCCAAGAGAAAGCAAAGCACTCACCATTTGGTGAGAGATCGGATAGAAAGATAGGAGAAAGACAGACGGATAGAAAGATGGAAATCTAGAAGGATAGAAGTAGAGAAGGATAGAAAGATAGAAGGATAGAAAGATAGAAAGATAGGAGTATAGAAGTACAGAAGGATAGAAAGATAGAAAGATAGAAGGATAGAAGTAGAGAAGGATAGAAAGATAGAAGGATAGGGGTATAGAAGGATAGAAAGATAGAAAGATAGAAGGATAGAAGTATAGAAGGATAGAAAGATAGAAAGATAGAAGGATAGAAGTAGAGAAGGATAGAAAGATAGAAGGATAGAAGTATAGAAGGATAGAAAAATAGAAACATAGAAGGATAGAGAGATAGAGCGGCACTCACCAATAGACAGATGCACATGGGTGCCGCCCAAGAGAAAGCCCTCACCATTTGGAGATAGATAGAACCACATCGAACCGCACTCACCAATGAAAAATCCCGAGTCAGCAATGCACTTGGTTGCCAATGCACTCACCTATGAAGAAGCCCGAGTCAGCGATGCACTTGGTGGGCGCCCAGGGGAGGGCACCGGCGATGCGATCACAGAGAGATATGACAGCGTGGCCGCCCGCTGAGCTGCCCGAGAGGAGGATCTGCGCTGCGGATTTTATCCCGCGATTTGCTTTTAGATCTGGATTGAAAAAGGTTGTTGGGATCAGAAGGGGGTCGGTCGGTGAGACAGAGTTAGGGTGCAAGCAAAATACAACATTTTCCCATGAGAGGCCCAAAGTGCACTCCCACCCACATGGCGCACTCCCACCCACATAGTGGTGCACTCCCACGTGGTGCACTCCCAGGTGGTGCACGCCCACGTGGTGCACTCCCACGTGGTGCACTCGCGCGTCGTGCACTGCATTGCAACAGATCTGCACTTACCGACCCCCTGTCTCACCAGCCCCAGAATTTACCAACCCTCCAAACAATAGCCACCCTTGGGCCGAAACTACATTCTATTCACATGATAGGAGCAACGCGCATTCCTGCCACATTAGTTTCTGAAAATGAGCAGTGTACACCCACCCACACACCCACCCACCCACCTACCCACCTGCCATAATAGCGCGCATGATCTTCCACCCACTCAGGTGCAGCACCGTGCCATTCCCCACGTCCACCCTCCCCGTCGTCCCAGCGAACCCCCCCCCGTCGCAGTAGATGGGGCGGACGAGATTCCAGCTGTAAAAGGGCGGGTTGTCGGTGCTGTTGCTGCTGAGCATGCCCGTGAAGCCAGGGTGGATGACCTGTAAGGGGGCGGAGAGGGGAAGGGGAGATGGGAGTATTGTTTGAAGCAAGAAGGGGGTCAGCTGGAGAGGGGAGAGGAAGGGCGGGTTGTCGGTGCTGATGCTGCTGAGCATGCCGGTAAGGCCGGGGTGGATGACCTGCGAGAGGGGGGAGAGGGGAGAGGGGAGAGGGGAGGGGGAGAGGGGAGGGGGGAGAGGGGAGAGGGGAGAGGGGAGAGGGGAGAGGGGAGAGGGGAGAGGGGAGAGGGGAGAGGGGAGAGGGGAGAGGGGAGGAGGGGAGGAGGGGAGGAGGGGAGGAGGGGAGGAGGGGTTGGGGGGAATAAAGGGGAAAGAGGAAGGGCGGGCTGTCGCTGCTTTTGCTGCTGTGAGAATGCCCGTGAAGCCCGGGTGGATGACCTGCGAGGGGGGAGAGAGGGAAGAGGAGAGGAGGGGAGGGGTTGGGGGAAGGGAATACGGAGGAAAGGTGAAGAGGGTTTGATGCTGCTGTTGCTGTTGAGAATGCCAGTGAAAGGGAGGGCGGATGACATGGGAAAGAGGGGAATGAGAAACGAGAGGAGAAAGTGTGCACGCATGCACACACGCACGCACGCACGCACGCATGCACGCACGCACGCACGCACGCACGCACACACCAAGAGAAACGCATACACAGCAAGCCAAATCATCTCGTTCTTGTTTGTATTCAGAGTCGCACGCCAAGATACACACACGCCAAGACGCATGCGTGGGCTCTTATGCATGCTCACATTCACATACATGCCTCACTGGTTGGGTCATCAGTAAAGAAAGAAAGTAGTGCTGCCTCCTAGCAGAGTCTTGCTTCAATGACACAATGAGTGGGAGAGCCGCACGACGAGGCACACACACGCCAAGGCGCATCCACGCACTCTTAAGCATGCCCACATTCACATACATACCTCACTGGTTGGGTCATTAGTAAAGAAAGTGCTGCTGCCGAGCAATGTCTTGCTCCTGGCGACACAGTCTGCAGCAGAGCCGCACCACGCCCCTCCCGGCAGGTAGATGTGCCACATGCTCTTGCCGGCCCCCGTGCCCGGGCGGAAATAGTATCCTGGGGGACTGGGGAGAGGAAACAGAAAGAGTAAAACGCATGCTCTTGCCCGTGCCACATGCTCTTGCCGCATGCCCTTGCCGCATGGTCTTGCCCGTGCCACATGCTCTTGCCCGTGCCACATGCTCTTGCTGCATGCCCTTGCCCGTGCCACATGCTCTTGCCGCATGCTCTTGCCCGTGCCACATGCTCTTGCCGCATGCTCCTGCTCTTGCAGAATAAAACGGTTGGAAGCTCGGCCAAAGTGGAGATTGGCTCACGACGACAAGGAACTTGAGGTGACAACTCGCAGATATATTGGTTAAATGTTAAAATTAAATATCGGGCAGATGGTAAGTTGAGTATAATAAAAAAGTAAAAAAGTAAAAAAAAAACCAGGCCGCACAAAAATTTCACAGTTTTTTTACCAGTAATACCCAAACTTCCCATCGAAACTTTTCGGCCAGGCAATCCGCCCCAGTGCGTTATACCCCAGCAAAATCAGCCATGGCCTATCCACTTGCCCAGCCCTCTCTGAGACCCCTTGCCACCACTCTCCACTCAGCCCCCCCAATCAGCCACCATCCCCCAATCGCCCCATCCCCTGTCAGAAGGGCCTACCTGCCGTCCTTTTTTTAGGCGCCTCAAAAAAGGATTTTCCCCTGAGCGTGCCATTCCCCCCCACTTCCCCAGCAAGATTCGCCGCGGCCTCTCCACTTCCCCAGCCCTCTCCCCTTCCCCACCGCTGCCCAATCTGTGCCCCCATTCGCCCCATCCCTTTCTAGAAAGCCTACTTACCTGCCGTCCAGGCTTTTCGCCCTGAATGCGTTGTCCGGCAGCAGAATGAGCCGACTCTCCGATCCCCCTGTCTCCCCATGCGCCAGTATACCATCCTCACTTCTCCCCTCCCTCTTCCTCACTCCCCCACCCGATCACACTGCCGTCCAGGCATTTCGCCCCTACCCCCTTGCACGGCAGCACGGTCAGCCGCGCCCTCTCCGATCCCCCTTTCTCCCCATATGCTGATGTACCAACTCGAGGTGACTTTTGAGTCGACTCAAAAGTCATTCCGATCCCCCTTTCTCCCCACACGCTGATGTACCAACTCCACCACTCTCCCCATTCCCCTTTCCTCACGCTCCCACCCCTATTCCCCCACCCGATCACACCCTACCTGCCGTCGAGGCATGTCGCTGCGGGCGCGTTGGCCGGCTACAGGATCAGTTTTGAGGCGCCTCAAAACTAGGCTGCAGGATCAGCCGCAACTTCCCAGATTTCACGCCAGCGCTCCTTTCCCTAATTTTGAGGCGCCTCAAAATCAGCCGCAACTTCCCAAAGTTCACCCCAGCGCTCCTTTCCCTTACCTTCTTTCCCCCACCGTATCCCCCCTCCCGATACCCTACCTGCCGTCGAGGCATTTCGCCCCGAGCGCGTTGTCCGGCAGCAGGATTAGCCGTGGTCTCTCCGTCTGCGCCGGCGTCGGCGGCGGCGGGTTTCCCGCGAGCAGCGAGAGCAGGTACTGCGTGAAGAGCCAGATGCTTCTCGTGCGCGCCTTGGCTCGGCGATGCGCTCCGGTGCCGCCGCCACCCTTTTGAATCGCCTCAAAAACTGTCAGCGTGTGAGCGGCTGTTGTCGAAAAATTCCAAGGGAGCACCGAGAGTAGCGAGAGCAGTGAGAGTAGCGGCAGGTACGGGGGGAAGAGCCAACGGCTGGGAGCCATTTGATATCCGAGTCGAATCGCCTTGGCCTGGCGGGCCGCTGGCGTGGCGCCGCCATAATCGGCGGCATTGTGCCGCCTAGGGGGGGGCGCCATTCTTCTTGTAGGGTTAATGGTGGCGTGATCCCTTTTTTTCTCCGAGGATAATTAGAAGCCTATTTTCGGTCTAGGAGTCTATGCGCGGAAGATCAGTGGCAGGTCTTGTCAGCGTGAGTCACGCTGACCGCCAGCGGGCCGACGGCGGACCGTCAGCGGACCGTCAGCGGACCGACAGAGGACCGACAGCGGACCGACAGCGGGCCGATCTCGGAAAATTACTACGGAAGAGTGGGACAGCAGTGCGCGCCACGATGAAAGGCTCTTCTTCCGTTCATGCGAGAGAGAGAGAGAGAGAGAGAGAGAGAGAGACGAGACGAGACAGCCGATAGAAGGCGTTGCTTCACGGATTGCAATGCAAGCAAATGACAGACGAGAGAGTCGATTCTGGAGTCGAGTCGAGTGGAGGAATGAAACATGCGCACATCTGATCTCGGTTCTCGATGCAATGAACCTGCTCTTCTCTGCTCTGCTCGCCGCTGCTCCTGCTGGCGTGACTGCCGTGCCGTGGTCCAGCTTTGGAGGAACGAACGAGCGAACTCCCCTGTAGTTTTCTCTGGTGCGAACGTGTTGAGCGGTGTGTGGAGCAAAGCAACGCCTGGAAGCACTCACAGCGCTTGCTTCCCTCGAAAAAAAAATGCTGGCCCTATGAAAAGTTAGGTAACTGGTGGGGAGGGGATTGGCGAAGAGTCGAGAGAGAAAACACTATCTGCTGATCACTCAGCGTGTCCGCGTACGTCTGGTTGCGGTTGGGTGGGATGCTCTGCAAGTCTGAAGGTTTTCATAGCAACCTGAAACGGTTGGGTGGGGTTTGAGCAAGAATCAAATGCGGGGACACGCCCTGAGGCCGTGCTGACTTGGTCGGTGCTTCTTGTTAGCACTAGCAATCGGTCCCAGTAATATCGCTAATCGGCATTCGCTTGGTTGGACCGAAATGGTTACTGTTATTGGCGAAATAATCGCCAAGGGGGGAGATAGCACATTCAGCTCGGTCGCTACAGCCGGTGCGAGCGAAGGGTGTTGTAGAATCGCCGACCGCATCGCGAATTTGCGAGATGATAGGACCATTCTCCGGTTTCTTCGCAGCGCCTGTAAATCTGCACGGTCAGCCTGGGACCATTCCGCGGGGGCCAATGAATTTAGCGTGAGAAGAGATGCCCCATTGCCCAGTCAGTCAATCCGTGAAGGTGGGCAAGCGAGGCACGGAAAGCTGATCGCCGCGAGGGGCGGAAAGCTGACGAAAAAAGTGAGTGCGTGTGCTGAACTGATCCCGTGAACTGACCGATATAAGTGTACGCCGGGTCACGATTAAAGTCCTTGCTTTTAGGTGAAGGTCATTCCATACAGCATAAACTTCAACCATTTATTTTCAGAACCAAGATAGAAAAAAAGATCATGATCTTCAATTGCCACATCGAGTTGATAGGATGACTTAGGCAAAAGCCGCCACATTTCATCTGCCTAAGCTCACCACCCAATCCAACACAAACCCAACCACAAGCCCAGCTGCAAAGCCAGTGCAGCAGCTACCAGTGTGAATCTCAGTCCAGCTAAATCCCAAAGCCAAGCACCAACATCACCCCTCAACTCCCATAGCAGCACTCCCCATAACATCACTCCTCACTCCCAGAGGCGAGGCAGCAGAATTCTAGCTGCTGTCCCAGTCGCTGCCACTGCCCTCCTCCTCATCGCTCCCAGAGAAGGAGCTGGCAGCATCGCTGTCAGAGGCAGACACAGCATCGGCCACACGGTCGTGCAGGCGAGCAGCAGCCTCTGCCAGGCCCTCTGGGAAGGCCGTGGAGAAGACACGGACTGTTCCAATGTCAGACGTGGCAAACCCATTGAAGCTGGACCCAGCCGCCTGGGTGTATGCACCCATCTTGGAGAACACCTGCAGAGACAATAGAAACAAGGGGAGAAAATGGAACAGAACAGACTGAGCACAAGAAAAAGGAGACTGGGCATGCAGGTGACACAACCAGCACAAGCAAAACAGGGCCAAGGCTCAAAACCCAAGAGTGTAAAAACCTGATGCTCAAACCCCTGAAGTGCTTGAAAATGTGAGGCACCAGTCAGATCCAGACCCAAGAGTATCAGATCCTCTTGACACTCACCAGCCAGTCGTCCAGCTCCAGGCGCGGCAGCCACACGTCCCTCAGAATCGTATCCAAGCCATCGCACGTCGGGCCAAACACCGTGGAGCGGCACAGCTGCTCCTCCTCCCCCTCCCCGTCCGCTCCCCCAGCGCCTGACGCCACCTTGACAGGGCGAGCGGAGATGACCGCATGGTCGTAGAGCAGGCAGTTCATGGACCCGTAGATGCCATCATCGATCCAGTACTCCATCACCGCACCCTTGCTTGCGCCGGTTCCAGCAGCTGCAGAGGCGTCTCCAGCAGAGGAGCTGGAGGCGTGCTTTGTGAGGGCAGCCAGAGCAGCAGCCTTGTTGGCAGTGGTCCTGCGGGAGCGGACGCCAAAGACCTTGGCCGCCAGAGTGAAGGGAGCCTCAGCAAAGAAGCGCCCGGGTTCTGCTATAACGCGGACGCCCATCTCCTCAGGGAAGTACTTCGCCAGAGCGACGTTCACGGAGTAGCAAGCCTTCAAGAACGACATCTCCCCATCAGCACCCCCATCCCCGTTATCACCAGCTCCACTGCTAGTGTAGTCATCATCCTGCAGCCCATCATAGGTGAAACCTCCTCCAATATCCAGAAGAGAAAGCGGCGGCATGCCCAGCTGTTCCGCCACGTTGAAGATATCCCTCGCGAGCGCAATGGCATCTCCGAAGATGCGCGGGTCCTTCGCGCCGCTGCCCACGTGGAACGCCACGCCCACAACCTGCACGCCGATCTCCTGTGCTGCCGCCAGCAGCTCCGGGCACTCCTCCGCCTCCGCGCCGTACTTCACCCCCATGGGGCAGCGCGCGCTCGGGTCGTCCACGCGCACGCGCAGCACCGCCTGCGCGGACGGGTTCCAGCGGCGGAGCTTCTGCAGCTCGGTGACGGAGTCGAACGTCGTCATGTGGACTCCGGACGCCGCTGCGAAGCGGATGTGCGCGGGGAGCTTGCACGGGTTCGCGTAGATCAGGCGGGAGCTATCCGGCAAGACCCCGCCGCATGCAGCTGCGACCATTTCCATCTCCGCTTTGCTGGCGACGTCGAATCCGGCGCCGACGGAGGCGAGCAGGGAGAGGAGCGCGGGGTCGGGGTTGCACTTGACGGCGTAGAATGGGTGGACACGTGGCAGAAGCTGCGTCCACGTGGCGTGCAGCTGCAGTGCGACGCCAGCGTCCATGACGTAGAAGGCAGAGTCGAGGCCGATGTTGACGCACGCGCGGATGTGAGCGTCGATCGCGGCGGGAGACGCGCCGATGAGAGACGGGGCGAGATCGGCAACGACGGCAGCAGCCTTGGCGCCGTAGAGCTTCAGCGTCTCAGCGACAGCGGAGGAGACGGCAGGAGAGAGAGTAAGCGGCGACGCCTTCTCCCCGGAGGACTCCTCCAGGACGTCATCGGATGAGTCGAACGAGGCGAGGGACTCGAGAGAGGCGATGGAATCCGACGACTCAGACGACCTGAAGCTGTCGAAGGACGGCAGGAGATTGCCATTGCCGAGCAGCAGATCGCCGCGCAGAGCCCCGCCGGAGCCGGCGATCTCGAGGGAATCGAAGCACACGTACGACACAGCCGCACCTCCGGGAAGCATGTGGCAGCTCGACCCGGCGCAGGCGTATCCACGTGGCGCGCTCAGATTGGTCCACGCCTTGCCTCCGAACACACCCTCAGCGGCGACCTGGCTCGAGTGCACAGCGACGGTTAGACGACCAGGCAGGAAGGTGCGCGCAGTCTTCGCGACGAGCTGACCGAGATCGCCGCCAGTCGCATGCCAGAGGGGGCCCTTCGCGCCAACACCCACGGATCCCATCACCTCAAAGCTCGCGTAGCTGAACCCGTCCTCCGGAGTGATGTGCACCGTTGATATCACCTCGCCATCCAGGCCGTTCATCGAGTAGCCGCAGGGGTCGAAGTTGAAATCGTCGATGCGCGAGTGCGGCACGAGATCTCCGATCCCGGACAGCCCCGTCACGTCAGCAGCATCGCCGTAGCCGTTGCTCTTGAAGAAATACTTCGTCGCGGCACGCCCAAGATCGGTCATGCAAACCTCGACCGTCACCACCGAACCACCAGCCGAACCATCAGAAGCAACCCCACCGGCGCAGGTAGCAGCAGCCGGAATCACAGCAGTAGGCAACTCCCCAGCCACGTACACGTGCCACTTCCTGCTTCCGAGAACGTCGCCCATGATATGCGCGCGGCGGTGCTTCAGACCGCCGAAGAAGCCATCCAGCACCGCAATCTCCTCGTCGAAGCTCCTGTGCGGGGACAGCTGCGCCTCAGGGAACAAGAAAGTCCCTCGTGAAAACCGGCAGCGAGCGGGCTCGAGCCCGGCCTCGGTGGCAATCTCGAGGAGCTTCGGGATGGCGTTGAGGAGGCGGGTGGTCCCGCAGGTCTTGATCACAGCGCGAGTCGGGAAGACGAAGAGGCTCGACTCGGAGAGCACGTACGCGTCCAAGTGCTCGTTGGACATCTTCGATACAATGGTGCACTGAGCGTCGTCGAGCATGGCATCCAGAGCCGCGCGGGAGGCGGAACGGAGACCCTTGCACTTGAGCTCAGGCAGAATAGTTTTCTTCCAGGTGAACTCCACGTCGAGGCGTTTCTCGAAACCCTCGAACGCCGGACACGGGAGGCTAAGTGGGGACTCCATGACAAACAGCAGAGCAGCGTTAGCGGTAGAGAGAGAAGAGAGGCACGAGTGCGAGAGACGAGAAGCACCGACGGCACTGTCAGATGTGACGGATGTCACAATGAGAGGAAGGACGGACCTTCTAGACGGCAGCACTACCGCAACCTACGCTGCTCTGCTACACAGAATCCCCCGAGAACCCGTGTCCAAAGTATCTACCAACCCCCGAGCCGTTTTCCCCCGAGACCTAGGACCTCCCGTGTTTGTTAACTCGCGAATCTTGAAGCTTAGTAGTCAGCGGAATATCTCGTAGGGTATATCAGGAGGGCTTGCGCACGCACTGCACGCACGGAATGAAATAACAGGACATAGTTAGAAGGCAGGCCACACAATAAAACTGGAAGACACACCACCAAACGAGTTCTACAGGGAAAAAGACATTGATTAAGAAGATACTGGGACGTACGTTGGAGTAAGCAGCAGAGCGGAACATGTCAATGCCTCCCCAGGGGCGAACGTCCTCGATGGTGTAGGTAAGGGGTTGCTCGTAAGCCGTGGCGATAGCGAGGAGGGAAGAAAGATTAGAGGTAGTCGCGTTGGAATTAAAATTACTGCGGTTACTTAATTTTTTGGACTCCATTATAAGGTCATCGACGCCTGCACAGACCAACGAGGAAAAAATTAGCAAATCTGGTCCATGAAACACACGAACCGAGCTGGTACAGAACTGTTAAGACAATAATCACTCACGTTTAATGGAGGAGGTTGAGGGAGACTGGGATGAGCTGCCGAAGCAGAGCTGAAAGGAAGCTAGCGGGAATCTACAGCAGACAGCTGAAATGCGAGGATTAGGAAGAACTACAGACGAGCAAGTTCGAGACTAGAGAGAGCAAAAACCCTTTCAACAATGTTCAGGCAACTAGGATGTGAGAATGAGGGAGGACGGCTAAATAGAGAGAGGCCAGCATGAGAGATGGGGGGATGCCTGCTGGGACGAGCAAGATTTGGAGCCGAGGGAGGGAGAGGAGAGACAAGGCCAACCGAAGCTGGGGAAGTGATTGGTTCTGTTCGGTTTTGTTCGGTTCCAATGAGTTCGTTCTCCTTTCCAACAAGCAAAACCCTCTTGTGTTGGGCCGATAATTCGTCACGCACACCTCATTCTGTGGACCTGGCCGCCAAACCAAACGCTTGAGAGCTCGTTGCAATGCTGTCAACCTCGCACAGTTACAGTGAACCAAATTCGGCCGTCAGATTGATTGTTATCGGACGTCCGAGAGGTCATTCCGACGGTGTGAACGATGGTTGTCGAACATTTGGCACATCTGGGCCGTTGAGAACCATTGCAGCAATTGGACGGCTCGGCTCGGTTGGTGCACCACATTCCGAACCTGTCCACGTTTGGTCGACGGGCTGCGTGCCTGATTTCATTCCAGCACGAACCATATCTTTTGAATCCAGGTGTCAGCACCTCCGCGCCTAAGCTGCCAGCAAGGAACGTGTTCGTGGAGCCTAACGTCCCGGAGATTGCGTGACCCCAGGCCGCGATGGCACCCTTTTTCGCTCAGCGCGTGCCCTGCCCAATTGATGCATGCGCCTATGACCGCATCCAGACTGGAGAGGGGGAACGGAACCTACTGTGCTTTACTGTAATTCAAAAGAGGAATTCAACCAAATTTCATATTTTGGAAGGACTTGGGCGGGAACAAAGTTGATCGATGCAGTATGGGGTTCCCAAATGGCTCCTATCACCCAAAGAGAAATCCCTAAACCCTGCACATGTACCTGGAGTGGGACATGCTCTGGTGTGCAAAACAGCCTTGAGCTTTGGGGCTACTCCACCAGGAAGTTGGACCAAGGGGGAACTCGAATTTCGCGGACGGACCCCTGGCCCTTGATGTGGAGTGGAGGTGTCCACATCGAGAAACGAAGGTGCACGGTTCAAGATCCTGAAGAGCCGTCAGCCACTAGCCTCCCAAGCCAAAATGAGGCAGACGGGACGGGACGGGACCACAAGCAGCAATAAGCACAAGAATAGCAAACAACAGTTAGTATTGAAAATCCATACTTTGTAAAAAAACTCAATATTTCATAAGCTCGTTGATTTACTCTTATTGGTGGATGTGACATCCTATTGATGACTCCCACTTCAAAATCTTAGGGGGGGAAATATCAATACCAGTGACCACGCACTAACTATTGGCCAAAGAAAACATATCTTCATATCATTATAGATGAGTTTTTTAGATGTACAATATCAACATTGCTCAAGCTGATGAGTTTGTTATAGGTGAAGCAATTTATTCTTATATATGATTTCCCTACAATTCGTGGCTACGAACATTGTCATGCATCTATGGAAGTCGAACCCCAGCAGAACGAGGCAGCTTTGCCGAACGTGTGGAACTGTCGAGCCTAGCTGAGCACGCAGAATGTCCCCTCGCGGGCAGGAAATCCACCTCAACCGAGCATCGATCAGGGTGGGCCACACGAGGCAAAATTACTGTACGGGTAATGTAGTGGCTGACATAAGTCAGGGGCGGTTCGCTTCCAATGTTCCTGTCATTCGGCGACTCTCCAACGTGCCGCCAGACGCTGGGAATTCTCCAGAAACCCTTTTTTCTGTCTTGTATTTTCTCGTGACGCTGATTGGGGTTGTTCAATTTCTACTGCTGGACAGTCCATGTTTTTGCTAAGTCAAGGGAAAGCGTTCCTGTATTTACAGCCGGTAAACCAGGAAGGGTGTCGCAGTGTGAAGCTTTTTGAATTCCTCAGCAACGTACACAATTGCAAATCCCAAATCCGATGTCTGCGTTACAACAAACACCGTCCCGGGTCGCTGGAAAAAACATCTCGTGTCTACACACTGTTCTGTACATCAAGGCAATGTATGCACAGTTCAATGTGGAGCGACGACACGGCCGTTTGAAATGTGGAGCGCTGCTTCAGCCCAGCCCGGTCCGCCCGTGCCATCTACAGCGCAACATGGTGCTGCCGGGTTGAATTTAGCTTCGGCTCGGCTCGGCTCGGCTAGCTCTGCCCTGACACGGCAGTTCCTAGGCCTAGGAATTGAATCACGATACGGCTACATTGACATTTGAGGCAGGGAAGTGGGATGATGACCGACCGTCGACCAACCGAACCACGGCATTGCCAGGGGAATGCGGTTTTCCCACAAGAGTATGTTTCTTGTTCTCTTTATACAGTTTGATCTGGTAGCACACGTTCTAAATCGGTGAAAAAGAACAACTGATTTCCAACGTCATGCACCTTACTAGACCGTACTAGACGTCTTGAAACTCGGTGACCGACCAAAGGCGATGAGGCTCACCTTGGGGTTGCTTCCTCCTGTCTCTCTGCCTTGCCTGGAGCAAAGAACTCGGGTCAGACCCCTACAAGTTATCGCGGGAATGCGAGTCACAGCTGTGTCGATAGTGCCTCCTGCAGCGTGGCTTCTTGCGATGCAGCTGAGTTGCTTGCTTCTTTACCTAAACCGAGTTCCGATTATCTGACCTTTCCTATAGCACATCTGCTCGGCGTCCTTGCCAGAATTGAGTTTCGTTGAAACGTAGGGATCGTGTAGAATCCACGAGCGACGTGTCGCGAAGAAGGACGCGTACGCGACCAGGTGCTATTTTGATTGACTCGACTCGACCGCAATATACTTGGATTACAGAAAACACCCCGTTGAACGCAAATTCGATTCTCGACCTCCCTAAGGTTGCATCAATAGCAACACCTGGCAGCGTCTCGATTAGGATCGCGTAGTGACTTTGAGGCGACTCAAAGTTCAGGCAGGCAAAGAACAGGCTAGGCAGGCACGCGCCAGGCCAAGCAGGCAAAGAACTCGAGGGGGTTTCGGAGTCGACTCGTATACCGAACTCAAGCTATTCACTGAGCTCCCGAAAGCCTGAGAGCGGGTTTGGAACGACTAAGTAGAGTTGATGTTGCGGCAGTGCAAGTAGCACCAGGAATTCTTTCGTCTTACTTATTGGGATCTTTATCGAGAGCTCTAGACAGGCTGTAAGGCGGGCTAAGACGTTTAATGATGGAGCCAAGGCTTGGCTGACTTCACTGACAAACCTCGCACCAGCCTCTATTCAGAGACTATCCAGCCCGTTCCTTAGTACGGACGTTTAGCGGTTCTGACCGCGTGATAAAGTCTACTGGTTGTGAGACGCCTGAGAACTAATAGCCTATCCAGATACTATCCAGCCCCTCCCCTAGTTCCTAGTGCGGACGTTTAGCGGTTCTGACCACCGGTCGGCGATCATGCGTCCGATAAGATCAAGTCAATCTGGCGGATTCTCATGGCTGCTGGCTGTCGCCGTGACGGCCGCGATTTTCGTTTGCTTGGGGGATGTGCCCGCGTTGTGCTCTGCGGTCGATTTGCAACCAGGTACGGCTATGGCTGTAACAAGCGGGATGTGTTATGATAATTGCTTCATTGGGAGATCTGTATTCGTGCGCTGCGTTCGATCTGCATCCAGGTACCTCTACGGCTGTAGCGAGGGAAAGGGGGCTGCTGGGCATAAGTGGCGAGAATCCGTGACGAGGATGCGTATGACGAGGATGCGCATGACGAGGACGCGTATGACGAGGACGCGTATGACGCAAATGCGCATGACGAGGACGCGTATGAGGAGAATGCGCATAACGAGGACGCGTATGAGGAGAATACGCATGAGGAGGATGCGTATGAGGAGGATGCGATATCCAACGGTGCTCGGCACTTAGACGCTCCCCAATTAATAGTCCGACGCAACCCGCCCAACCCAACCCGCTTTTTCAAGTCTCGCTCTTTTCAAACCTCTCTCTGTTCTCAATTCTTCCCTCAATCTCCCCCGGCAGCCCGAAGGCCCAACACGAAGCAGTACATTGTGCATTTGTCCTCCGTGCCGTCCGTGCTGTCGTACCGGGGGGTATTCAACGGGCTGCGGGCCACAGCTGCTCAATTCACTTGCCTCTTTTCCTTCTCACCCCCCTTCCCCTGCCGGCAGCACGAAGGCCCAACACAAAGCAGTACATCATGCATTTGTCCTCCGTGCCGTCCGTGCTGTCGTACCGCGGGGTAGTCACCGAGCTGCGGGCTTTGAGGCACGCCAGTCCCTATTCCCCTCTCCCTGCTGTCAATCCTCTCATTGACCTCAACCGCCCCCCCTCCCCCCTTCCCCCCCCACCTTCTACCCCCTAGCAGCACGAAGGCCCAACACGAAGCAATACATTGTGCATCTGGCATCCGTGCCGTCGGTGCTGTTGTACCGGGGGGTATTCAACGGGCTGCGGGCCACAGCTGCTCAACTCACTTGCCTCTTTTGCTTCTCACCCCCCTTCCCCTGCTGGCAGCCCGAAGGCCCAACACGAAGCAGTACATTGTGCATCTGGCATCCGTGCCGTCGGTGCTGTCGTACCGGGGGGGAGTCAACGGGCTGCGGGCCACGGCGACTGTAGGCGATGACGAGGACGAGTATGACGAGGATGAGGATGATGGGGAGGGAGATGGGCAGGATGGTGGCAGTGGTGGCAGTGGTGGTAGTGATGGCGATGGTGGAAATGGTGGCAATAGCACTGCCCCAGGGTCAGCTGCAGCACCAGCGCCAGCACCAGCAGCAGCAGGAGCCGGAGTAGGAGCCGGAGCAGGAGCAGGTGATGATTCGTTTGACGCGGATATTCAGACTGCGGCTGCTGCTGCTGCAGAAGCGGCTGCTGAGGTCGCAGGAGCTGTAGGAAATTCAGGAGCAGCAGCAGGGGTAGCAGGGTTGGCAGCAACAGCAGCAGCAGCGGCAGCAGCAGCAGGGGGAGGGAGAGGAGTGGGAGCGAGAGGAGGAGTGAGGATCAATGCGCTGTATTTCAGAAAGGCTGGGATAGATGCCCTGGTGGGGAGGGTGGGTCAACGGCTGACCAGGTTCAGGAGCAGGTCAGCTGGCTTGGGCCGGAGATTGCTGGCCCGCGTTGCTGCTGCTGCAGTGGCCGCTGCAGCTGAAGAAGCAGCAGAAGCAGCAGGAGCAAGTGCTAGTGCTGGTGATGATGCTGATGCTGAGGCTGACGCTTCGGATTACCCTCCCTCCAATGCGTCTTACCCCGCTGCTGTTGCTGCTGGCGCCAGCGCCGTACATAGCATGACACGTGGCCAGATAGCTGCCACCTCAGCATCCACGTCAGCAGTGACAGGAGCCACGTCACCCACGCTGACGGTGCAGCAGCTGAGTGCGAGGGCGGCTCACATCATGCGCACCACTCCTTGGGGCCGACTCATGCGGCCTGACGTGCGGTTACCGCACGTGCAGGCCTTCACGCGCTTCCTGGAAACTTCCCACCGCAGCCTGCTGCGATCGCTCAAGATCCCAACCTCCGCCATTTTCCACAGGTGAGGGGCTTATAGGTGCAAAGGGGGGGGGGCTCTTTGGGTTCCACAGGTGAGGGGCTGAGAGCAAGGTGTTTTACACAGGGGTAGGCTGCACAGCTACTAGAGCCAGTTCGCTGAGAGTAATGGGTGGGGAATAGAGCAACAGGTGGAAGGAATCTCCTGGCCTGTATCCAGTCCAGTGGCGCTGAAGCCTGAAGCTCCATGGCAGCGCTTGAGTGCCACGGAGCCACATTTGCCACTGTGTAATGCGAGCCACCACAGTGTACTCGCCCGAGTTCCTCAAGCTCGATTCGAGCCTGTGACGAGTGCTCATTCACCCTCCTTTCTGCGCCTCCTGCGCGCCCCTTTCCCCCTTCCCCCTTTTCCCCCTCTCCCCCTTCCCCCTTTCCCCCTTTCCCCCTTTCCCCCTTTCCCCCTTTCCCCCTTTACCCCTTTCCCCCTTTCCCCCTTTCCCCCTTCCCCCTTTCCCCCTTTCCCCCTTTCCCCCTTTCCCCCTTTCCCCCTTTCCCCCTTTCCCCCTTTCCCCCTTTCCCCCTTTCCCCCTTTCCCCCTTCCCCCTTTCCCCCTTCCCCCTTTCTCCCCCCAGCTACTCGTACCTGCTCAACAGCTTTGCAGCGCAGCTCACCCCTGCTGAAGCCAGGCGGCTGAAGTTGCACCCAGCGGTGGCGGATGTGGAGCCGGACAGGACAGTCCGAGTGTCCACTGTGCACTCGCCCGAGTTCCTCAAGCTCGACACGAGCCTGTGGCCCGCGGCTGGCGGGCAGAGTGCCGCCGGGGAGGGCATTATTGTCGGGGTGATTGACTCGGGGATCTGGCCCGAACATCCGTCCTTCTCCGACCCTGTAAGTTTGGAATTATTGGGTTCTGATGCAGTAGGGGGGGCATCTGTGTATGAGTGGTGCACAGAGCAGACTGGGAGGGCGTTATCATCGGAGTGATTGACTCGGGCATCTGGCCCGAACACTCCTCCTTCTCCGACCCTGTGAGTGCCTCCTTCCACACTTCCCCTCCCCACGCCCCATTCCTCCCCCCACTCCTTAACCTCCCCCCCCAAAGCGCCTCCTTCTCCTTCTCTTGCCTTCTCATGCTCTCTCATGCCCTCTCATGCCCTCTCATGCCCTCTCATGCCCTCTCATGCCCTCTCATGCCCTCTCATGCCCTCTCATGCCCTCTCATGCCCTCTCATGCCCTCTCATGCCCTCTCATGCCCTCTCATGCCCTCAGGGCCCGAAAGAAGCGGCGTATTCCGCTGTCCCGGCTCGATGGAACAGCGGTTGACTACCCCTCCTCTCCTCTTTAATACCCCTCTCAAGGTGATCGGGGCGAGGCTCTTTGTGAAGGGCGCGGAGAGGCCAGTCTTGAAAGGCAGTCTTCCCCTCCACCACCCCGCCCCTGCCCCTCAGGACGCCAATGGCGCGCCCTACGTGATAGGAGTCTAGTTTTGAGGCGCCTCAAATCTAGACTCCCCTCCACCACTCCGCCCCTGCCCCTCAGGACGCCAATGGCGCGGCCTACTCCGCTGTCCCCGCGCGCTGGAGGGGCACGTGCACCAAGACGGCTGACTACACGGCATGCAACGGCAAGGTGATCGGGGCTCGGTACTTTGTGAAGGGCGCGGAGCGGACGTTTGGGAGCCTGGACGAGAGCGAGGAGTACCGGTCGGCGAGGGATAAAGTGCAGCACGGCACGTGGTGTGCGGGGTGAGTGCAACACTCCCACTCTCCCTCTCTTCTCCCCCACTCTCGCCCCCACTCTCGGCCCCACCCTCGGCCCCACTCTCGGCCCCACTCTCGGCCCCACTCTCGGCCCCCTGCTCACTCTTTGCCTCTCCGTTTCACCTGGTGCACGGGGTGAGTGAGTGAGATGGCCCTAGCCAGTAGAGGGTGATTGGAGCGCGGTACTTCCTCAAGGGCGTGGAGAGGATGTTTGGGCAGCTGGGCGAGAGCAAGGCGTACCGGTCAGCGCGGGATAAAGTGCAGCACGGCACGTGGTGCGCAGGGTGAGTGCGGCACACACTCTCCCCCTCTCTTCTCCCCACTCTCTTCACCCTACACTCTCCCTCCCTCTCCATCTCACCTGGTGTGTTTGGTGAGTGAGATTGTCTAAGCCAGTAGCCAGTGATCGGGGCGCGGTACTTTGTGAAGGGCGCGGAGTGGACGTTTGGGAGGCTGAACGAGAGCAAGGAGTACCGCCTGGTGCGTGGGGTGAGAGCGGGAGAGAGTTGTAATCAAGCCACTAGGCAGTGATTGGGGCGCGGTACTTTGTTAAGGGTGCGGGGTGGACGTTTGGGTAGCATGTCGCCACGAGCCACAGGCTCACATCTACGCCCTTCCCCCACTTCCTCCCTTCCTCCTCACCACCAATCAGAGCTGCTGCTGGCAATGCGGGGGTCACAGTTACCACGGGCGGCCGGTCCTACGGCACAGCATCGGGCATGGCGCCGCGCGCCAGGCTGGCAGTGTACAAGGCGCTGTGGACCATCGGGGGGTATGAGGGCACGGGGGCTTCGTCCGACCTGATAAAAGCGGCTGAGAAGGCCGTGTCTGACGGCGTGGACGTCATCTCGTGCTCGTTTGGCGGGCTGGCCCTGTACTTCCAGGACTTGCCATACCTGCGAGGGCTCAAGGTGGGTCTTGGGCTGTGGGGGTCACGGGGGTACCTCCGACCTGATAGCTGCGGCTGAGAAAGCAGTGTCTGACTGAGTGGATGTCATTTCCTGCTCGTTCAGCGGGCTCGCCCTGTATTTCCAGGATCTGCCGTACCTGCGAGGGCACAAGGTGAGTTGCGCGAGGGGAAAGGCGGGCGTGGAGGCTGTAAGGTGAGGGGGTGAGCGGGTGAGGGGTAGGCGGACTAGCCCTGTACTTCTAGGATTCGCCGTACCTTCAAGGGCTCAAGGTGTGTTTCCAGGGGTGAATGTCGGTGTGGAGGGGTGAAGGTGCGTGTTTGGGTGCTAGCTGTGAGCTGGACAGGGCACATAAGGAAGAGCGTAGGTGTGAAAGGGCTGGCGGTGTACAAGGCACTGTGGACCCTTGGGGGGGTACGAGGGGGGTCTGCAAGGGCTATGAGAGGGGTCTGCAAGGGCTATGAGGGGGGTCTGCAAGGGCTGGCAGTGTACAAGGCGCTGTGGACCATCGGGGCGTATGAGGGCACGGGGGCTTCGTCCGACCTGATAGCTGCGGCTGAGAAGGCCGTTGCCGATGGTGTGGATGCGATCCCGTGCTCGTTTGGGTGTTAAGGAGGGGCTCTGCCTGACGTACGACCTGATAGCTGCAGCTGAGAAGGAGGTTGCCGATGGTGTGGATGCGATCTTATGCTCGTTTGGCGGTCTGTCCCTGTGTTTTCAAGCCCAACCCTCCCTCCCTTCTCGTCCCTTCCTCTAACCCCCGCCTGTCCTTTTCTGCAGGCAGGGGTGGTCACGGCCTTTGCAGCGGGCAACGAGGGCAAGCCCAACCCCAGCAGCATCTGGGGCACCATTTCGAACGTCTCGCCCTTCTACCTCACAGTGGGCGCAAGGTACGGCAGCAGTGGGAGGAGGGGGGGAGGAGTTACTTATTTACTACAGTGACTGAGAATGTAGCGGGCGATAAGGACTGGCTGAACCCCAGCAGCATCTGCGCCACCATTTCGAACGTCTCGCCCTTGTACCGCACAGTGGGAGCGAGGTATGAGCAACCATAGTGAGTATAGTGTAACTGTAGCAAATGCATTTGTTGTGAGTGGGACTGGAGCGGGCGAGGGTCGAGCCAACCCCAGCAGCATCTGGGGCACCATTTCGAACGTCTCGCCCTTGTACCGCACAGTGGGAGCGAGGTATGGTTGGCGTGTGACTGGAGCAAAATCGTTTATAGTGCGTGTGATTGTAGTGATCAAGGGCCGGCCCATCTCGCCCGACCCTCCTCAACCCCCACCCTGTTTCACAGCACTAGTAGATGGGAATTCAAGGCGTCGTTAACCCTGGGGGATATAACCACCTTCACATGAGGGTCGGTTCCCTTCCCTTCCAACCCTACCCATCACCACCACCCCCATCCCGTACCCCCCCCATGCCCTCGCACCAAGAGCACCATCGGGCGTGAATCTAAGGCGGTGTTGACCCTGGGGGATGCAACCACCTTCACTCTAGGGCTGCAGTCTGGGCATAGAGCGCCCAAGCCCCCCCCCCCCCCCCCCCCTCTCCCCCCTCCCCTCACAGCACCATGGGGCGCGAATTCAAGGCGGTGTTGACCCTGGGGGATGCAACCACGTTCACGGGGCGCAGTTTGGGCGGCACGGCTGCCACGGCGTCGGCTCTGCCCCTCGTCTTGGCCGAGTCTGCCTTGCTTTCCGGAGGAGACAGCGCCAAGGTGAGCTCAGTGCCAAGGTGAGCTCAGTGCCAAGGTGAGCTCCAGGGAGGCATGAGACAGGGTACGCTCCAGGGAGACTTCAGCCCGTTGACTGTTCGGCACCACTGCTGCCTCGGCGTCGGCTCTGTCCCTCGTCTTGGCTGAGTCTACCTTGATTTCCAGAGGAACAGCGCCAAGGTGAGCTCCAGGGAGGCATGGTCATGTAGCTTCAAGCAGATTCCATCCCTTTGTTTATCTGGCAACACTGAGATGGCGTCAGCTCTGCCCCTCGTCCTGGCTGAGTCCGCCTTGATTTTCCGAGAGACTGCCCCAAAGGTGAACTCTAGGGAGGCCATGGCAAGTACAGCCCTCATTGAGAAGGCTAGGCTAAAGTGTGCACTCTGGCCAAACGCAAGCTGGGGCTGTTTGTTAGACGACTTTAAAATCACCATGGCGAGGAAAGTCCCATTGACAAGGTTAGGCTAAAGTGGGCACCATGGCGAAACGCAAGCTGGGTCTGCTGCTGCTGCTGCTGGCAAGCATGGAGACACTCGCCCTTTTCTGCCCTCCCCTCCCCTTCCCTTCCCTTCCCTCCCCCCACCTCCTTTTCCTCCAGGCGGCAGTGCTACAGGGGGCACATCGACAAGACCATGGTGGCGGGAAAATTCGTCGTGTGCACCGTCGCAAAGCGCAAGGTGGGGCTGCTGCTTGCAGACGGACACTCACCCTTCTCTGCCCTCCCCTCCCCTCCCCTTCCCTTGACTCCCCTTCCCTTCCCTCCCCTCCCCTCCTTTTTCCTCCAGGCCCAGCAGTGCTACAGCGGGCACATCGACAAGACCATGGTGGCGGGCAAATTCCTCGTGTGCACCGTCGTAAAGCGCAAGATGGGGCTGCTGATTGCAGATGCGGACTTGCTAGGGGCGGCTGCTATACTCGTTATAAGCGGGAGGCCCAAGTCTGACCTGCAGTACCGTATGCCCTTCTCCAAGACCCCCAGCGTCTTCATCACATACTCGCCTGGTCGGACCATCAAGAGCTACATCGGGGCTGAAGCCAGGTGAGACCATCTCCCTCTCTTTCCCTTCCCTTGCTCTAAGTGCCCTACTCCAAGACCCCCAGCGTCCTCATCCGATACTTGCCTGGGCGGACCATAAAGAGCTACGTCAACGCTCAAGCCAGGTGAGACTGCCACTCCCTTCCGTTGCTGCAAGTGCCCTACTCCAAGACCCCCACCATCTTCATCAGATACTCGCCTGGGCGGACCATGAAGAGCTACAACAAGGCTGAAGGCAGGGGAGAGTTATGTCTCTATTCCCCCCGCCCCCCCTTTCGTCGAGTGGCATTGTAACAAGGCGGGGCTTTTGAGCTGGTCTCAACAGCCCCACCGGCACATGATGCGCCAGCCAGCACTCTTGTCCTACGCTCTAGACTTTCCTCGTTCCCTCCCCAATCCTCTCCCTCCAACTTCTCCATTTCCCCTCACCTCCTCCCCCACTGCCCCACTCCCCGCAGCCCCACAGCCACCCTGGCTGACTACACCACCACCTACTCCACCAACGCCCCCAAGGTCGCCTTCTTCTCCTCCACCGGCCCGCCACGCAGCGCGCGCTACCCGCCCGCGCTGCTGTTCCGCGACTTTCCCACCAACGACATCCTTAAACCCGACGTCATGGGCCCGGGCTTCCTCCTCTGGGCGGCCGCGCCCGGCAAATCCGTCGTGACGGCTGCGACCGACGCGCCGGAGTTTAATTATTGGTCGGGAACGTCTATGTCGACCCCGCACTTGGCTGGGATCATGGCGCTGGTTCTGCAGGAAAAGCCGAACTGGTCGCCCGCGCAGGTGATTTCCGCAATCACGACGACGGCCTACACGAAGAATGGAAATGGGCAGCCCATTCAGCGGGCAGATGGGACGAACGCGAACGCGTGGGACTATGGAGGCGGGCAGGTGGATCCCACGCGCGTGCTCGACCCCGGGCTCACATGTCACGCGGGGCAGAAGCAGTACATCAATTTTCTTATGGGGAGGGACCCGCTAAGAGCCAAAAAGCGTTTCTGGCGGCTCGGAAAGGCTCGGCCGATTTTCCCCTGGGCGGTCAACCGGCCCTCGATTGCGGTAACCCGGTTACACGGCGTTGCGGTAGTGTACCGGCGCATGAAAAACGTCTACAGTTTACCGTCTATTTATCAGGCGAAAGTGAAACCTCCCCCGGGGTATTCGGTGAGGGTTTCCCCGAAGAAGTTCCTCATCCTGCCCGGAAAATCCAAGTTGATTAGGGTTACTATCATTAGGTTTCTCCCTTTGGAGGCGTTTAGGTTTGGAAGTATCACCTGGACAGATCAGTACGGGCACAAAGTTCCCATGCCATTGGTGGTAAGGTCTCCTGTTTTGCCTTGAGAGATTCTACAGTGTAATCCCTCCCATTGATTGACATTGTACACCACACGGAGGAGCAGCTCAGTCTATCCAGTTTTATGTTCAAGTGACAAAGGCTGAATGAGAACCATACATCACATCAGCGAGCCCCATGCACTGGGTGCTATGCCACAGAACATCAGGTTGGCCTGGGACGAGGCCTTAGGTAGGAGGACACTCTTAGTGACCAGCGATGCACTCATGCTTGCACCACAAGGGAGGGGTCACTCTAGTGTCAGTTCTTGGCGTTGGCTGCCACGCGGCGCAGAGCAATCCTAGTGGCAACAGACTGCTTGAACCCAGGAGTTGCAGCATTTTGTGATGCTGCGTGTCAGTTCTTAACGTTGGCTGCCATGCCGCGCAGAGCAATCCTAATGGCAGTAACCCACTGGAAAACAGAGGAGGAGGAGCAAGCAGCAGCGGGCTTCGCGTGGCGCATTTGGAAGGCGGCTGAGGGGGTAGTAGCTTGACAAATGCTGGCAGGACACGCCTTGAATGCACCGTTCGTAATGCCGCTGCCTTTCGTTGTTCTGTAATCACTGGTAGCAGACGCAGACACAAATGCAGATGCAGATGCAGATGCAGATGCAGATGCAGATGTTTCTTTGCTGGAAGGCAGTATCCCCTCACCGGGTGCGGCAGCACTGCGGTATGCAACGACAGAGTCTGGATCACTCCCCTCACTGGCCGGGGCAGCACTGCTAGAAGCAGAGTCACCCGAAAAGGTGGCCGTAGCCGAATCTCCCTGCACACAGCCAGCAAAGCTGCCTGGTGAGCGAGGAGTGCTGGCACCAACAGTGGCAACAGGTGACACTGGGGGAGGGCCCACCCGGGCGGCATGTGAAGCTGAGGGAGGGCTCACCCGTGTTTCTTCCAGCAGCCGGGTTGGGAAGCTGTGGGACCGTCTCCTGGGGCGGTAGGAGCCCTGGCAATTGTAGTCGTAGCAGCTAGGACAATACCAGGGCGACCCATCGCCATGATCACGTCCGTTATAGCAATCACCTGCTATAAGCACCCCCTGCAATGACTTCTCTCCTCGCAGCAGGCCGCTGTTGCTCCAGGGCGATGATGACGTCACCCTAACTCTCCTCTGCTTCCTGGCCGTTATTTCCGGCGCGCGGTAAGCCGCATCAGCGGGGGGACGACAGCGGGGAATAAGGGGAGGGGAAATAAGGTGAGGAGGAGTATGGGAAGGGAAGGTAGGGGGAGGGGGAATGGAAGGCGGCGTAAGCAGAGGGGGAGGCGGAGGAGAGAGAGGCTCTTCCTCTCAGTCTCGCCCCGGCCATGGCTTGGTTCCACATGGCCAGCCGGATCTCCAGGTTCGCGAACCGCTGCTGCGAATTGCTTCGGCCGAGGCTGGGGCTCAGGGAATCCACAGCATGATCATGGCCGGTGCGGATGTAACGTCTACGGACGGAAAAACACCCTAGAGATTGTAAATGCATTCCGCTGCGCCTCTGGGTAACCTCGTTTTGACCCAGTGGGTAGCGAGGAGTTATACTGGTATCAGAGCCTAGGGTTCAAATCCCGGCTGGACACATTTTCCGCGCACGGCTGAGGTCGTGGCGAGAACTCGAATGTGTGAAAATACAGCTGCGGTTGTATCCAGTCGCGAACCCAGCGAACGATCCTGGTAACCGCTGTGCATCACCAGCGAAGTCGTTGACTTGGACCACCAGCGAAACTCGAGGTCCTTGCGGGGGCCGACTCCCTGAGCCAACGAGGACGTTGGCGCCAGGGGGGGACGAGTGTAACGTCTGCGGACAGAAAAACACCCTAGAGATTGTACAGTGGCGGAAACAATTGTCCACATGTTTAGCATATTTTTACATTTTGACGAGCTGTACGCTATAAACATTAATCCTTAATTCATGGTGGCCATACACGTAGAGAGGAGCAGTTAGAGCACTCACTCAAATCTCATAAAACCAGAGTAGTATATTTCATGGTCCTTCAAGATGACAACATTTAATAAGAGCACATCCGGACAATTTGTACCGAGGACAGGCAGCAAACTAGTTACTAGCAAAACTAGTACCTAATCAACCGACACTTGGCCTTAATCACCACCTACACCCTCCTAGGCATGTTATCTACGAGGTTAGTGCAAACCTTTACAGGGATCTTCTCGCACTCTTCCTGGACCCACGCTTTTGCATAAGGGGGTGAGCACTAGGAAAATCGCGAAGTATTTGAACGTATGCAAGAGTACTGTTCACGATTTAATGTTGAATGTTATCTCTAAGACTAGCCATGGCCAAAGATGCCATTAGTCGATTGGTCTCGTCTTATCATGGATCGTCTTCATCGCACCGTTGTAGGTAAAAATTACGAGCAGAGTGGCAAAAAAATGCGTATCTGCCACGAAACTTAGGGTTACATAGCACAGTTGACAGTGCATCCTTGCACTATTAGAATCACGCTAGGATCCGTAGGTCTCTGAGCGATGCAGCAGTTGAAGTAGTCGTGACTGGTGGGGAAAATTATTCGGGTTCAGGTCTGGTGAGGAAGAGGGTCATTCCAGTGCTATAAACTCACGCTCTCCAAGCAATTCCAAGCCTAGGCGGGACACATGGCTTAGAATGGCTTAGAGAACACAAGTATGTTACGCTGGAGTGGCCCTTTTCCTCACCAGTTCTCAACCCGGATATTTTTCCCCACCAGTCACGACTACTTCGACTGCTGCACCGCTCAAAGACATACGGATCCTAGCATGATTCTAATAGTGCAAGGATGCACTGTCAACCGTGCTATGTTACCCTAAGTTTCGTGGCGGATACGCAATTTTTCGCCACTCTGCTCGTAATTTTTACCTACAACGGTGCGATGAAGACGATCCATGATAAGACGAGACCAATCGACTAATGGCATCTTTGGCAACACCTCAGCATGGCTAGTCTTAGAGATAACATTCAACATGAAATCGTGCACAGTACTCTTGCATACGTTCAAATACTTCGCGATTTTCCTAGTGCTCACCCCCTTATGCAAAAGCGTGGGTCCAGGAAGAGTGCGAGAAGATCCCTGTAAAGGTTTGCACTAACCTCGTAGATAACATGCCTAGGAGGGTGTAGGTGGTGATCAAGGCCAAGTGTCGGTTTACTAGGTACTAGTTTTGCTAGTAACTAGTTTGCTGCCTGTCCCCGGTACAAATTGTCCGGATGTGCTGTTATTAAATGTTGTCATCTTGAAGGACCACGAAATAAACTACTCTGGTTTTAGGAGATTTGAGTGAGTGCTCTAACTGCTCCTCTCTACGTGTATGGCCACCATGAATTAAGGCTTATTGTTTATAGCGTACAGCTCGTCAAAATGTAAAAATATGCTAAACATGTGGACAATTATTTCCGCCACTGTAAATGCATTCCGCTGCGCCTCTGGGTAACCTCGTTTTGACCCAGTGGATAGCGAGGCGTTATAGCGGAGGTTCGGAGGCGGTAAGGTGCCGAGGCTCGGTTCGCCGCTGCTGCCGACCATGTCCGTAAATAATTTGCTTCTAGTAGTACTAGAGCTAGTAGCAGGGATTTATCATGTCCGCAAGAGCCACGGCGCTGTGAGTTGTTGAACAGCTGCGCACCGCCGCGGTACTCCCAAGACCAGGGCAATTATGATCCCTGGTAGCGCACATGGTGATTAGAAGATAACGAATCCCGCCGGTATTCTTGAGGTATTCGAGGCGGTCAAGCGGCGCACACTGCGTGAAAGAGATAAGCAAGCGACAATGGCTCGTTCAAGTCCTGTCTCGAAAGGTGTAGCGAAACTGACGAACGACAATGGCTTCTTCTACTAAGAGGACTTCTTACGACTTACGTCACTTGGATCGCGTAGGTCGGGCCCATGGGGGGAAGTGCGAGATAGAACCATGAAGATCATTGGCTGGTAGGGGAGGGGAGGGGAAGTGGAGGAGAAGCGGAAGGGAAGAAAGGGGAAGGGAAGGCCCCAGATCAGGGCTTATTATTCACGGGTAACTATCCGGATTTTGGCAAAATAACGGGTGATTTTTTTACCAATTCTGGATTCTGGCGTGTTCGTTTTCCATGAATCCAGATTCTGACGAGTTCAGGTTTAGCCGCACCCGTGAAATGACGTGTTCATTTTGGAAAGTACCCTGATTTGACGGGTGAGCCCCTGACATAAACGGATCATAGAGCTACAAACCCCCCCTATTCCTCACCCCCAGTACCACCCCCCCCCCCCCCCCTCCCCCCTCCCTTTCCCCTCCAGAAAAGAGATATCCATGATTGGATGGCGGTTCACAAGAGTGAGAAGACTGATGGCACAAAGTCTAGCAAGGAGTTTACATAGGTGAAGTGGTGTGCTTTGTTCTTACAGAGCCCTCGAACTGGCAAATTTGACGCTACAGAAATTTTTCCGGAACTGACGTGTTGTTTTTGTTCCTACCCGGCTTCTGACGACTAACTTTTAGGGCACACCCGTGAAATCCAGGTTTCCATATAGGAGTACCCGGATCTGCCGTGTGGACAAAAACCCAAAGGTAAGCCCTACCCCAGATTCTAGGGAGCAGAGGAGGGGACGCGCATACCCGTGTTCCGCCAACCTTTTTTGTGAATCGCGACGGGATGACGACCATGGTGGACGGGACGGGTCACGGGTCACGACTCACGTGAGGAGAAGCTCGAAACACGACAAAAAAGGAGAGAAGCTTCGGAAAGCTTAGGCGAACTTTTCCTGAGTGCTCAGTCCGGCGGACGGTACATATGATGTCCGACAAATGCGTGAGGAGTCTATTTTTGAGGTGCCTAAAAAATAGATGTATGCAAAATGCCCAGCTCGATTCTCTCCCAAAGTGCACCTCCCCGACCAATAATTCCATCCGCATTCATCCAGCGCGACTCGTGAACAAGTTGTTCTACACCTATTCCACCGACACTCCATAGTGGAACACTCCAATTTACCGTTACATTCCATAAAGCTGTATTCCCGATGTGTAATCAATGGCCTTACTGTACAAAACACTCGTAACAGTGGCGGAGCCTTCCTAAGAAAAACTCATGCAATAAATGCAA